TAACAAGAGTCGGAAGGGACCTTGTAGGTCATCTAGTCCAACCCCCAGAGAGATGTTCAGGAATTAGAGAGGAAGCGGGAACGTTTAAATAATGTTCCAGTGGGCTGGGAAGACCATTCAAGACAAGAGTGGGGTATAGCAGCCAGGGTTTTAAATTTAACTCCTAAATTTGGGGATATTTGTAGCTCAGGGATGAACGGTGAGGGCCTTGGGGCTCTCTGACATCGACAGTTTTCTTGCAGACCTTTCATGACCCAAGTAGAGAACATCATCAGTGCTAGAAGGGAGTGGGGGGGGTTGTGGAGAGGAGGAAGACATGGAATATGGGTTCCTTGGTGCTCTCTGGGCTTGGTGGTTTTCTTGCAGATGTTTCATGACCCAACTAGGGAACATCATCAGTGCTAGAAGGGTGAGGGGTTTGCAAAGAGGAGGAAGAGAAGGACTGTGGGATCCTCGGTTCTCCAAAGTTGGTGGGTTTTTTGCAGACGTTTCATGACCCAAGTAGGGAACATCATCAGTGCTAGAAGTGAATAGGATTTGCAGGGAGGAGGAGGAAGAAGAGGGAGGAGGAGGACGATAAATGTGGGATCCTTGGGGCTCACTGAAGTTTAGTTTATTGTCACTGCACCTCATACAATGGAGTTAAACACCATCTTCAGTGCACATCGTGACCATGAAAATTAACACAAACACACATCCTTCACCCTCCACACATTGGATTGAAAACCCCTGACGCTGCACCACACAGTAGAATTCAACAGAGCTTTTGTTGGGGTTTTTCTTGCAGACGTTTCACGACCCAACTAGGGAACATCATCAGTGAATAAGCAGGGATTGAGAGCAGGCAAAGAGAAAACAAGGAACTACCAAGAAGTCGGGGGGTGGGGGCGACCCCACACGCACACTTAACGTGGGCCAGGCCACGGTATATAAAGAGGAAGCGAGTCACTCTCACTAACGCTTTTCTCATCCAGGAAGCTCCTTCAGTTGTAACTTAGAACCGAAGAAGCTTCTCGGATGAGAAGCGAAATGTTTTCAAAGGGGGGAAAAAACAACAAGAAAGTCCAGTTGCTTTTTTTGGGAGCATCTTTGGGGCGCCTGTTGCTGTGGGTCTGTGAGGTTTTGAAGATGGCAAACCACAAGCAATAAATCCTACTTTTGAGATCAGGTTTATTTCACGAGCAGCTTGGAACATGGAACAGCCGTCATAACACGATTTCTATCAAATAACTCCTTGCAATGAGGTCCAGTGACGTGGCTGAGTCCGGCAAGGAGTAGCCGTGGCCAGTGGCCCTGAACACACCCCAAGGCCGCCTTTTTATACTTTTCTGCATGCATCTCACAACTTCTCTGTTTTTTCTTACTGACATGCAGTCTCCACATATATACCCGTGTGCATCTATCTATCTATCTATCTATCTATCTATCTATCTATCTATCTATCCATCCATCCATCCACCCACCCACCCACCCACCCACCCACCCATCCATCCATCCATCGTCTATACTTTCTGTTCCCTATTTTTTTTCCCAAAAAGTTTTTAATTTTTACACATCTCTGCGTAGGCAACGTGGTTCCAGATTATAACACTTGTGCATAATCGTAATTTCCTGTCCACCAATCTTACATGATGTCATTTCATATCATTATCCATTTCACTCATCTTTAAAAAAAAATTTCCATTTCATATTTCAATTCATTAATTCAATATCATTTCATCCAAATACAGATTCCCGGTTCTTTATCCCCTAGCATTTTCATTTTCAGCTTACCACCTATTTTATTTAACATTACACATCATTATAATCCTATAATTTTCCCTAAGTCAGTTACGTAATAAACTATTTCTCATGGTTTTCAAAACTACGTGCTTTGCAAAAAAAATCACATTCCACAAAACAGCTGAGCAGGATTACAAATAGCTCTGGTACGTTTTGAAATCCTCCTGTCTAAAACTTTGGTTCCTGTCTCTTTTATTCTGGGGCCTGCTATCATCCAAGGGCCTTTGTTGAATCCGATCGATCAATAGCCTAATTTTTGCTTCCCACACTTGGAAGAAATGCACAGGGGACAGAAGGCGGTAAAGGAAACCGATTCATTTTGAAGAAGTGAAAAAATACCGCCCAGAAACAGCACAAGATGTCTCTACTTTCCAGGGACTCTAAAAAGCATTTTTTTGAGCCGGGTCCAAGCTTGAGTTTTCAGGCCATGAGAGCTTAAGAGATTTTCACTCGGCCTCAAATCCTCTTTGTTGGCTGAACCTCCTGGGGCAGCCGGTTTTTAAATATCCTCTCTAAAATTCAAAGTGAAACCAGGGAGCAGAAATAAGTTTCTTTTCAGCCGGCTCTCCCAAGAGACGACTGGACTTCCTTGTTTTTCTTTGAAGGCGTTTCGCTTCTCATCTGAGGAGCTTCCTCAGCTCTGACTGGATGAGTCTCGGTCCAAAGTGTGCAGAGAGGGGAGCGCTGGCTTGAAAGAGGGGGGAGTCACGAGGCCATCTATCTGCAACTTGAACAGCCCTCTCTCAGTGGAGGGAGGGGGGGGAAATACCACACTACCCATCTCCTGCCTACCACACGGTCCTTTCACCAATTCCAAAAGGCTCCACTCCCATTTGCACCACTCAAGTGACCCTGAGGACACAGACAAACCTTCAAGTGGCCTCAACGACCCTCTAAAAAGAGGATGCAAATGACCAGCTATCTGCAAGGAGGACCAATCCTTCCACCATCCAGTCAGAGCTGAAGAAGCTTCTGGGATGAGAAGCGAAACGTCTTCCAAGGAAAACAAGAAAGCCCAGTTGACTCTTTAAAAAAGTACATTCGGGATGAAAACCTTCGAATGATATGGGAGTATAAGCAGATTTTCAGAGAGAGAGAAAAAGGCAGATATGACAGGAGCCCTTTCCACAAACTCAGGTGAGCCTGAGGACAAAGACGAACCTCCAAGTGGCCTCAACGACCCTCTAAAAAGAGGATGCAAAGGACCAGCTGTCTGCAAGGAAGATCAATCCTTCCACCATCCAGTCAGAGCTGAAGAAGCTTCTGGGATGAGAAGTGAAATGTCTTCCAAGAAAAAAACAGACAGTTCAGGTGTCTCGGGAGCACCTTTGGAACAACCATGACCTGGATGACGGAGAATTTCCACAGACGGTTTCAGCAGGCCCTTTGACCCAAAAAGGAGTTTTTAGCAGAAGGGATTGCTTGCTGAAACCTGCCCGGGGAATGGCTTAGAACACACCTGGATGGCTGGGTTGATTGAAAGCGTGTGCGTGCGTGTGTGTGTGTGTGTGTGTGTGTGTGTGTGTGTGTGTGTGTAGGAGCACCCGATCATCCTGTGTGACTCATTCTCCTTTCTCAAAGCTCGGTGGTTCTTGGCAAGCCCCCCGTCCCCCCCTGCAATTTTCTGTTCGCATCTCCTTTCTGCTGAGTCCAACCGTGAATTTGGTCCCCTAAATTAAGGGTCTCCAAACTCGGCCATTTTAAGCCTGGAGGACTTCAACTCCCAGAATTCCCCAACCTTGGCCACTTTTTTTTTTTTTTTTGGTTCTATATTTTCGATACGGTCATAAAAATCAACCAATACATACACTAAGGTAGTCCCTGACTTTAACCAGGCGTTGGGGTTAGAGTTTCAACAGCCCTGGAAAAAAAAGTTGACTTGTTATGGCCATTTTCCACCCTTCTGTCCAATGCAGAATC